GTTTTTTTCCTGTATTTGTAGATACGAGTAATTGTCTGTTTGATATATCGGCATGATATTAAACTTACCCTGGTTACATTTGAAAATGTGTTGTGATACAAAAAGTTTTCTGTTAATGTCATATTGCTTTTGTGTAGGGAGACCCTGTAAACCCAACCGATTTGGTATCTGTCAGAGTTCTAACACTTCTATCACTCAGCTAAATCTAGCATATTGTTTTTAGAATCAGTCGATATTTCCTTTACTATTTACCCGAGTCTATCTCTTTTGATTCCTTCTTTCCTTCATTCCTTTCTAAGTCCAATAACAAATATTTTGTCTGTCTGTTTATCTCTCTATCTATATATATACTTCTGTTTATATCTATCTGCATATGTTCATTTCTATCTATCTATCTATCTATCTATCTAAGACCAATAACAAATAGTTTGTATATCTATCTATCTATCTATCTATCTATCTATCTATCTATCTATCTTCCTAACATTTTTTCAACTATTACGGCAGCCTTGGTAAGCGGAGAGCTAATTCACTATTCCCTGATGAAACATGATTCAACCAATCAAATATTCTATCAAATTCACCCGGCACAATTTCTGGAGTCAGAATTCTACACTTGAAAGAAACTGATGCGTTGGCGCAGCAGACACGTACACACGAAAGCCAGTAAACATAGAGATCCAAGCGATATCTTTCTCACTCTTTCTCACACATCCAGATGCACGAATACACGTTAACAAGCCATAGACATACATACAGAGAACGATACATATAAATAATATATACATCATACATACATAGCAATAGCTGTGTTTGCAGAACGATTTTGTCGGCAGTTCGAAACTTGGTAACGACACGAGGTAAAAGATGTGTTGTGTTAATAGATGCTGTGAATACCACAGAAAGTGCATTTCCCGGCAGGATTCGAACCAGCGTTCCCCTCGAATCCTGCATGGGGGAATTCTCTTTATCAAGTTTTCCCGAATGTGCAGGCAGGTAGACAACATGGAATACTGTTTAAATTAAACGAGGCGTCTACTCAAATACGGGTATCGCTTAAAAATAACACTTAAAGTAATAAACACATGTCGGATTAAAAAATAAAAAATCATTTATCTTTTAGAAATTTAGAAATATATATATATATATATATATATATATATATATATATATGTGTGTGTGTGTGTGTGTGTGTGTGTGTGTGTGCGCGTGTGTGTGTGTGTGCGCGCAAAAATATATAGAAAAATAGGAAAGAACCGTTAGGTTAATAATTCAAAGTTCTTTAATATTTTTGTTTTTATTTAAAAAAAACAAAAAAAAACAGTGCCCAATACATAAGTAGAGCCTAAATTATAATTATTATTTTTTTTAAAATAATTGTAATATATATATATATATATATATATATATATATATATATATATATATATCAAGAATCACTCCGTCCACTCTTCAGGGGATATCGGCAATTAACTGCTAATTTTCTCGTTTTTCTTTTATATATGCAGTTTTCATTAGTTCACGGCTGATTTTTCCTTTTCATCGTGTGTGTGCGCGCGTTTGTGTGTGTGTGTGTGTGTGTGTGTGTGTGTGTGTGTGTGTGCGTGTGTGTGTGTGTGTGTGTGTACCTGATCATGCCCCGCTCTCTTTCGCGTATGAGCGTACGTGTAGAATGTCGTATTTATTTCTCCTTTTCGTCGTTTTTCTTGTCTCTTTATACTTTTCCCTTATTGGTTGATTAAATGCCAGTGTAAATCCGTTTTTAAGGATTTTTTCTATATTGAAGTTAATTTTTATAGTTTTCCGTACATATTTAAACATAAATTGTAATATAATAATATATAATATCGTAAGCACTTTCATAATCCATTAGCAGAGATTTTCATTTTGTGTTCTGTCGGTTTCCTCATTTTCAAATCTCACATTTTCGCGTGACAACTCGTGTTATTCGTTTTGTTCTTATCTTTTTATTTCTTTATTTAGTCAAATGGTACATTAGTTGGCGTGTTTATATTGTAGTTATACAGGCGGTATAAAAATATTTTTACAAACATTGGGGTGGGGGGCGGTTTCCTCACACCAAAACAAGAAGAAAAGTCCACATGTCCGCAAATGCTTCGTTTTTGAGTTTGACCCTAACCACTTTTACAAGAAAGACATTTATGGACGGATCGGAATCCCTATGATACAATACAGGCTAGACACTAGCATCAGTTTATGATTAATGTGTGGGCTGGAAATGTAGGTGATTGTTTGGTAGATCCATATGTTCTTTTAGCACGTCTTGCAACAGCTGTCTACGGGAAGTTTATTTCGAAAAACTTCCAGACCTGCTAGAGGATGTACCCCTGCTAATACAGAGATGTATGTGATTCATGTATAATTAAGGCTTCAACACATTTTAATCACATTGTTCGCCATGCACTGACTGACTGACGGATAGGTAGGAGATGACTGGTTCCATTGTCTGCACGTTCCACCGACCTCAATCCTTAGGTTGTTGTTTTTTTTTATCTCTCTGGCCACCTAAAACAATTGGTTTATGCAGTAGACATTAATAATGCAGAGACGCTTCATCAACGTTTCAGGGTGGGGGGGTCTGCGAAACAATTCGACACCGCGTGGGAGTATTTGAAAGGGTTCACCAGACAGGTGCATGTGTGTGTAGAAGCAAGTGGAGGATATTTTGAATATTTGTTGAGTTGCTGTGTTGAGGTAAAACAATGGCCTTTTGAATATATCATTATATAGAGATTTTACATTTTGGTGTCAGTTTATAAGGTATTTTAGGACTGTATCTTGTATTGTCCTTTCAGCTGACATTGTATTGGTGTGAGGACCCCGCCCTCAAATATATATACACCCTATATATAATGGCCATTTTCACAAATGAGTGTTTTGAACCGTCTAGATGATCATAGCATGAAAACACATGAAACCTTTACATGTGGTCTGTGACAGTTCACATACAATTTATACACATATTTATATATACACAGACACACACAAACACACACACACATACACACACACACACACACACATATATATATATATATATATATATATATATATATATATATATATATATATATATATGTATATATATATATAATATTAACAGGTGCTATCATCCTGGGTCAAGGTGAACGATATAATTTTGGCATATATATAAGAATCTGTTTTATGAAATAAAACATTACCATGGGTTTGTAAAGTCTCCACTTTCATAATTATATATATATATATATACGCCATACATTATTAAACGTTTAAGTGATATATTATAAAGCGATTAATAAATAGATTATAAAACGATTATCGATAGATTATTGAACGTTTAAGCGATAGATTAATAAACGATTAAGCAATAGATTATTTAGCATTTAAGCGATAGATTATTAAACGATTAAGCGATAGATTATTAAACGGTTACACCATACATTATTAAACGTTTAAGTGATATATTATAAAGCGATTAATAAATAGATTATAAAATGATTAAGCGATAGATTGTTAAGCGTTTAAGCGATAGATTACTAAACGATTAAGCGATACATAATTAAACCGTTAAGCCATAGATTATTAAACGATTAAGCGATAGATTTTTAAGCGTTTAAGCGATAGATTATTAAGCGTTTAAGGGATAGATTATAAAACGATTAAGCGGTAGATTATTAAGCATTTAAGCGATAGATTATAAAACGATTAGGCGATAGGTAATTAAACCGTTAAGCCATAGATTATAAAACGATTAAGCGATAGATTATTAAGCTTTTAAGCGATAGATTATAAAACGATTAAGCGATAGATAATTAAACCGTTGAGCCATAGATTATTAAACGTTTAAGCGATAGATTATAAAACGATTAAGCGAAAGATTATTAAACGGTTAAACCATAGATTATAAAACGTTTAAGCGTTAGATTATTAAACGATTAATTGATAGATTATAAAACGAATAAGCGATAGATTATTACTGTGATATTTATAAGAACTTGATGGATTTCATTTTGTTTTTTTCTCGTTGGGTTCATTGTGTCAACTGCGCTTTAATTGAATGAATGGTACATTAGTTGGCGCGTTTATATTGTAGTTATACAGGCGGTATAAAAATATTTTTACAAACATTGGGGTGGGGGGCGGTTTCCTCACACCAAAACAAGAAGAAAAGTCCACATGTCCGCAAATGCTTCGTTTTTGAGTTTGACCCTAACCACTTTTACAAGAAAGACATTTATGGACGGATCGGAATCCCTATGATACAATACAGGCTAGACACTAGCATCAGTTTATGATTAATGTGTGGGCTGGAAATGTAGGTGATTGTTTGGTAGATCCATATGTTCTTTTAGCACGTCTTGCAACAGCTGTCTACGGGAAGTTTATTTCGAAAAACTTCCAGACCTGCTAGAGGATGTACCCCTGCTAATACAAAGATGCATGTGATTCATGTATAATTGAGGCTTCAACACATTTTAATCACATTGTTCGCCATGCACTGACTGACTGACGGATAGGTAGGAGATGACTGGTTCCATTGTCTGCACGTTCCACCGACCTCAATCCTTAGGTTGTTGTTTTTTTTTTATCTCTCTGGCCACCTAAAACAATTGGTTTATGCAGCAGACATTAATAATGCAGAGACGCTTCATCAACGTTTCAGGGGGGGGGTCTGCGAAACAATTCGACACCGCGTGGGAGTATTTGAAAGGGTTCACCAGACAGGTGCATGTGTGTGTAGAAGCAAGTGGAGGATATTTTGAATATTTGTTGAGTTGCTGTGTTGAGGTAAAACAATGGCCTTTTGAATATATCTTTATATAGAGATTTTACATTTTGGTGTCAGTTTATAAGGTATTTTAGGACTGTATCTTGTATTGTCCTTTCAGCTGACATTGTATTGGTGTGAGGACCCCGCCCTCAAATATATATACACCCTATATATAATGGCCATTTTCACAAATGAGTGTTGCCGAACCGTCTAGATGATCATAGCATGAAAACACATGAAACCTTTACATGTGGTCTGTGACAGTTCACATACAATGTATTAAGAAACACACACATATTTATATATACACAAACACACACAAACACATACACACACACACATACACACACACACACACACACACACACATATATATATATATATATATATATATATATATATAATATTAACAGGTGCTACCATCCTGGGTCAAGGTGAACGATATAATTTTGGCATATATATAAGAATCTGTTTTATGAAATAAAACATTACCATGGGTTTGTAAAGTCTCCACTTTTCATAATTATATATATATATATATATATATATATATATATATATATATATATATATATATTGAAGGTGTATAGAAAATAATTTTTACAAAACTTAGGGGGCGTTTCCTCAAAGAAAAGTCCATATAAACAAATGTCCGCAAATCCTTCCTTTCTTAGTACGTTTAAAGAAGGTTTTCAGTAGATGGCGCTATGTTGCCGTGCAGAATCGGTTACATTTGTCATTCGTGTACATTTGTGAATAGTATGTCGTCAACGTTTAACGTGTGTTGTCGTGAGTTAATTGAAAAGCGGTCCGTTTAACTATGGAAGGACATTCTTATCCTGATCA